GTACATTTTCCCGCATGACCAGATATTCCTAGACACTATGAAGGTACTGTACCAAAAAGCAATCCCATTATGCACTCACCGAGGAGACAGCTTGTGACCATAACCCTGGAACTGTTCCCCACTGTCCTGCAAAATCCTATTACAAGCCGCATTAGGAAGGGATGAAAACAAGTTCACTCAGGAGAAAAATTAGACAAGGAGGCATAGTTCACAGACTGGCAGTGAAAACTTACCTATAGCACTCAAGAAAATTTCACCTGTCCACCCCTAATTTACATCAAGTAAAATACTGGCCTGTTCGCACTATTTAGAGCTATCCGGTATACAAACCATGCCAGTAAGATAAAGTTGTCCGTTCAATACTGATATTTTCATTGCAGCACTCTCCGTATGCTTTACCATAGGGCCTACACAGGGCTCTAATTTAGATTTGCCCCCCTTAGTTTTGCACTATGATACGCTTTACCGGGAGATGCGGCTTAAACTGTCGAGTTGTCTGTCGTGAACGACTGCAAGATAAATATGCAGGTATGCACGTCTTATAACATATAGTGAGAACTTTCGGATACCATTCTTTTACGATTGCACCGCAACACAAGCAATATTTTCCTAACTCTTCCTTTGATCTTCATTTCTTGTATTTATCTCGTGGTCATCAAGAGCATAATTAGTTGTACTGTGATGAATAATACCTGTATACACATGGATACATGCGCGTACATACTTATATAAACATCTTTTTTCTACTCTTATTTCGGTCTGCAAAAGTATCTACACTTTAAGATACCTTTTTATATGAGAATTTTTGAAGGTGGATTTATTATATCGGCAGTTACTTGGTTGTCTTTCGTGCATTGTCTACAAATTACTAAGTAACAATGAATGATCACTTCCAAAGCCTTACATAGGACAGCAGAATGGAATTCTACATTCTTTGAGGTGTGCCTGAACTAAAGGCCCAGTTCCTTAGGCCTAGACCAGAAGTCTCAAAAACTCGTGATACTTTTCTCTCATGTGGTGGATGTAGAAAGCGTCAAATCTTTTTTCGTCACAGATTTCATTGATGATGTAATGGCTTGGCTAAAGTGAGTGTAAACTTTTTGTGGAATCAATTTTAATACAGAACAAGCCCAAATCTCCCAACAACTTGTAGTTGCAAAACGGATAGTTTAGTCACTCTCAAAAGGCTAGTCATAAATCTGAGTCTGTATTCACAGGTAGCAATAGGCCCCAAAAGACAGACCATAACCTTGATCTTAGATCGCTCATACTCTTTGACGTTCAGGACGGTGGCTCCGCCCTACTGACTGATCGTGAAGGACATGACCTTGGCCAATGGAAGGGCGTTTGCAAACTCCTAGTAGCCTCTTCCTGCGGTCCATCTCTTCAAAGCATAGCGCGTAGTAAGCTCTCCCCCAAAGGCTGTCCTGGACCTTCAAGAGTGTTCGGGTACCGATACTGTTGAAATTATCTACGACATTAATCAGTGGAGGCGTATTGTCAGCAAACTCCAAATCAATGTGAGGGCCGAAAGAATAAGTCGTCTTCCAGAGCAGGCTCACCTCTCGACTATACGTACTCCAGGCTACCCCAAGTAACCCTTGACTCCCCGGACATGGTCAGAACTACCTTGGAATCCAGGTATAATGTGTCTGATACATCCCCCAGAGAACTAAAGATAAGTGAGTGCAGATCCAGGGAACAAAGGCGGGCTGAAAGGCGATTCAAGTGCTTGCCATTGGCTTACTCACATCTAACGAAGAACGGTTGGACGATGAGCAAGAGTTTTTATCGACCTTGTCCCAGATCGAAGGACCCTGCACCAGTTCTCAGCCAAAGAGATCGGTGGATATAGTAGCCACTGGTTCCACCGCCCTATCAAAAAACTTGTCAAAACCGGCCATCTAAAGGCTGACAACTCACCCTTGACTCAACCGGTTTCCGGGACCTCCTGCCCCATACTCTTATTCGCTGTACCTACAGTAATGTACGAAGCCTATACTGCAAGGTACCCGAGTTAAGGTTGTCAGTGGATGAGGACAGCCCTAGCATAGTGGCCTTCTGTGAAACATGGCTCTCAGAGAACATGAAAGACGAATAAGTTCGTTTAGGACAGCTCAGCCTAATCCAACAGGATAGGCTGGAGGGCCCAGGTGTCGTTGCTCTTTACACCTGCTCTTCCTTAAAAGTCCATGAGATTCAATCTCATAGAATCAGTATTAAAGATGTCCTTTGGTGTAGTATTACGTGCTGCGGAGGCTCGTGTTTAGTTGGAGTCTGATGCCGCCCTCCTGCAGCTGACGCCACGTTAAATAAAATGTTAATACAGTCCATTAGAGGAGCCCAGGAACTGGACTTCCCACAGGTCCTCATTATGGGAGACTTCAACTTTCCTCAACTTTTTGCCACAGAAAGTTCATCTACTGCTCTAAAAGACTTTCAGGAATCGTTACCGGAAAACTCCTTAACGAAACATGTTCCCCGGCGTACTCGCTGGGGGCTTGACGGTAAGGCATCCCTACCAGATTATGTTCTCACAAATCAGTTCATTGGCGTAAGCAACTTGAATGTTTTCAGCCCTCTTGGCCTGAGTGACCATGCAGTTTTCTCCTTCAATATTTCTGATCTAAGCCACCCGTTCCCGATCAGTCCCTAGTTAGGAATTACAAGGGAACTGATTTCGAGAGGGTTCGGCAGGATCTAGAAGGTTCCGCTTGCCTAAATTGGCATGGCCTGCTGGATCTTGATGCCGGATGGGATCTGTTGAAACATATAATCCTTCGGACGATAAAAGACAACACTATTCTGATTCCAAGAGGAACTAACAAGTTCTACTCCTCCTGGCTTAAGTTAAGCACGCGCAAACTAATACTGGCGTAAACGGTCATCTTGGAATCTATGGAGGTGCACTAATAGCCCTTTTGACTAGCTAAATTATAAAAATACCCGTAACAAATGTACAGTAAGGGTCAGAAATGATAGAATAAACCACCAGACACAGCTTTGTAGAACCGTAGAGTGGAATCATGAGGTACTGTACTGACTGATGAAACGGAAGAGTAACAGTTCACTTTTTTTTGCAGGACCCCTTTAGTTTGGAGATTCTCTATTCCAACTCCGAAGTTGCAAACCTACTAGCTCACGAATTCCAAAACAACTTCTGTCATTTAGGAGGCAAAACCGCTCCTCTTTCGGACACCCGTATTACAGAGGGGCTAAACCATATAGAATTTAAACCCTCTGTAATCATGGAAATATTAAAAAAACTGAACCCGAATAAGCCTCCAGATGTCGGTAGGATTCACCCAAGTGCACTCAAAGGGTGTGCTGAAGTTCTGTGCTACCCCACCAACAAATCTCTTCAAATGCTGGTTTCTGGAAGGCAGGTTACCCTCTGAATGGAAACGGGTGGCTATCATCCCAATTTATAAGGGTGGAAAAAAACTACTCACCTCCAACTACAGACCGATCTACCTGATCTCTTCAGTTGCGAAGGTCATGGAGAAAGTCATAAATGACTCACTTCTTGATCACTTACTTCCGAAATCAGTCATAAACGACTGTCAGCATGGCTTTCTACAAGGAAGGTCATGTAACACCAACTTGTTGATAGCTTGGAATAGCTGGACACTCTCTGTTGAGAAGAAAAAGCCCATACACATTGGTTTACTTGGCTTTTCTAAGGCCTTTGACAAGGTAAATAATGATATCTTTTGTAAGGGTCTCCAGCTTATGGGTGTACAAGGAAAACTATTAATTTGGCTTAGAGATTATCTTTACACCAGGTTGCAGTCAGTTTGAGTTGGCTCCTCTCTATCTTATCGGTTTCTGATGCTGAGTGGTGTGCCTCAAGGTTCTTTACTGGACCCACTACTGTTTCTTGCTTTTATCAACGGCCTACCAGGGGTCCTTAATTCACATTCACCTTTATATGCCAGTGATCTGAAAATTTGGAGGGAAATACAGAAGCCGTCGGATATTTCGGTCTTCCAGGAGGACCTTACGGAAATCCTTAATTGGATTACAGAAAACCTGCTTCCTCTCAACTCGAAGAAGTGTCAAATTATGATGGTTGGCAAACAAAGAGGCAGTCCCAGTTCTTACTCTCTGGCTGGAATAAGTGTCTGTCACACTAACATGTAACAAGATCTGGGGGATACACTAAACGATACGCTAGGAGCTACAGTTGACTGTCGCCTTGCAGCCAATAGGGCTAATTGAATCCTGGGGTTTCTCTTGCTAACTTAGGGTGTCGAACTCCTCTTTTCACCACAGTGTATGTTCTGTAAATTCGCCCTCATCTACAGAAAAATTCGCTTGTGCTCCCCATACCTGAAAAAGGACATAGCCATCCTAGAGCGGGTACAGAGAAGAGCTACAAAGAAAGTGATAAGGTTACGGCACAAACCGTAACCAGACCGCTTATTGGCTCTTCAGCTGCACCCAGTACAATACCGGAGGAACAGAGGAGATATGATTATGATGTACCACATCGCCCATAATCCCCTCCATCCTAACAGATTACTTCTTAGCTTTGGTCAAAAAGGCGACCTGAGGGGTCACCGGTTGAGAATAGAGCACGAGAGAGCACGTACAAAGATCCGTGCTAACTCATTTGCAGTTAGAGTCTGTAAACTGTGGAATTCCCTCCCATCAGCACTTGTTACAGCCCCATTACCTGATACCTTTAAAAGGAGGCTAGACGCACACCTCGAGTTCTACGGTATCGATGGGCTGTACTCAAGAAACTTCCCCCAGATCAGATGCAGTAATACTACCTTGGGACCAGATAAATTAATTAATCATATCTCTATCCTTTCAGGTTTTTCAGAACCGGGAAGATAATTGTGACCATCCAGAACTCAGAACGTATTCCAATAAAACAGAAGTAGAACCCGAGGAACCGCCGTTCACTAATTCTACAATATGAAGTTTAAGGTTTGAAGTTGAATAGATTTCGGCGATGATACAAAGGGTTGTGTTATGGCGGTCGGTCTGAAATGGATCTGACGGACTCTGAGTTGTATGAGTGTGGCGGATGTTCTAATTTCATACCATCTTCTGAATCTGACCCCCCGCCACCCATTACCTACCATGTGACGGAATGTAAACCTGGAGATATTCATTTGCAAGAATGTGACGCTAATACTGAAAGTGCACCGGCCCTAGATGAGTCAGACACGATGGTATCTCAGGACTGTAGCTTTGAAGCTTCAGACGCTGTAAAAAAGCAAGACACATTTACTCAGGCAGATGGTAAAAGTGTATATCAATAATCCACACCTTCAGACTTTCAAGATTTGTCAAAGGAAAACTTAGAACCGTCAAGCAACACAGTGGGATGTGAGTGTTCATTAGTCAAAAGATTGTTTTCAGTAGCCTCAGAAAAAATACCACAAAGTGTTCAAGTCAATGGATTTTCGTTTAATGGCCCAGTGAGTTACCATATGTGTACTTTCATGTTAAAGCTCCCTTACTAGTGAACCCTGTTTTGTGCATTTAGTTTGTTTCAGTTATAAGGATAGTAGGCCCGTGGGCCTGTGTTAATCCTTGCAGAAGATATCTCTGTGAAGATCTAGTTTCTCCTTGAACGCGTTGACAGAAGGTGCTGATACTACTTGCTGAGGTAAGGAGTTCCAGTCGTTGACAACACGATGGGAGAAACGCAAATTCACGCTAAGTTGATTCGATCGCGGTTTTAGGATTTTCTTGTGATGCCCTTAGAGATAGTCAGTCATAGCAAGGGAGAAAAGATAGAACATATGAGTACTGAGTATTGAAGTCTCTCTACTCGAACACTTGTGGGAATGTTAAAGCCTATGGTGAGATGCCCGGGAAGCTGTGTTCGTCGAGTGATGTCCGTCAAGGGTGCCCACTGTCTCCATTCCTATTCAATTTTATCATAGATATTCTCATGGAGGTCTTCCTCTCGTCAACTGACTACACAGAGGTTGACCTAATCACAGGAGAATTTTCGTTAGACCTAGAATATGCAGATGACATAGTCCTGTTAGGTGAAGACGCTGACAAGATGCAGAGTCTTCTGAACACTTTAAGGGGAATTCGAGAATGTTTAGGATGCGTTTCTCACCACCCAGATGCAAATTGTTTCTCCAGAATTGGTCTTCAACAGTGCCTCGGCTAAGAATAGAGAATGTAGTTGTTGAGTGTGTTGACCACTTCACTTGCCCGGTAAGTGGGATCAGCCCTGGTGTCTGGGTCAGTGGCTGATGAAATCTCTGCACGAATACCAAAGACTCGGATGGCTGGCTTTTGCCAACTTACACTACCTGTGGCGCCGTCGTGATATCCGATTGCCTACCAAGGGTCGAGTGTACTGCACAGCAGTCCAGTCTGTTCTACTGTATGACTGTGAAACATGGCCATTGAAGGTGGAAGATATGAGGAGAAGGCTTCAGGTTCAGGTGTTTGACCACCGGTGCTGTATTCCGTGGTGTCACCACCGTGAGTAACGCAAAGTCAGGTGTTGAGTTTTACAGAGAAGAGGTAAGTCAGTTGACGAGGTTGTGAACCTTCATCGACTGAGATGTGTTACGTATACCTAGTCGCCGTCTGCCTCGTCACACAATGTTGGCCGAAGTAGGTTCAGGCTGGTAAAAGGCCCCAGGTGACCAAAGTGAAATATAGCATCAATGTATGAAGTCTTTGATTGTTGGTTTGAGCCATGTGGATCGATGCAAACTGGGTGGTTGGGGTCCATGGGACAAGAGAAACCAGTGGTTGGAGACTGACTCTAGGTGATATGGCTCAGAACTGGTGTCAGTGGAGCAGATGTATACATATATTGTCCTCATCGTAACGATGCTATACCGAATTTCACTATTTTCCCTTTTAGCACTTGATATTTCTTTTGACTGAATTTTCTTATCTTCATCTTCCACTTCACTGACGTTTTACTTGACGTACTGATATGAGTTGTGGCAAATCGGACTGTTACGCAGTAATGCCTGGTCCTGTGTTGATTTGGATGGATGGGTCTCTGTCGCCGATTGACGAGATATACGACCGTCTATCGAAGGACGAGTAAACTGCACTGCAGTCCGCTATCCTCTTAAACGACTGGGACATGACCGTAAAAAGTAGAAGACATAAAGCGGTTATAGGGTTTTGATCATAGGTGTATTCGTATCATTGTTCTCGTTAAGTGGTATCACCGTATGGGCAATGCTGAGGTCAGGCGAAAGTTTCTAGACAAGATGAGGTTGAAAACCTACATCGGTTGGGGTGGCTTGGGAGTATGTTACGCATGCTGATCCACCGCCTACCTCAACGCGCCATGCTAATGGAAGTTTGATTATATTGGATGGGGGTCCAGAGTGGCCAGATTACGACTTGGCACCATTGCGCCAAGTCCCTGACCGCTGGTTTGAGTTGTGTCAGGAGATGTAAACTGTTTGTCTGGGTTTGCGAGACGATAGGAACTCTCGGCGAGATGGCTGAAAACCGGTCACAGTGGCACAGGTGTATTCGCTTTTTGGCGTCTTCTAAAGCTTATGTGTCCACCCTAATCTTTTTCATCAAATTGTTTATTCTGTCGCACAACCTTGCCTTCTTTGGTATCGGTCTTTTTGTATCCACCTGTTCTTTGTATACTACCGTGATATGTAGCAACTAGAACCGATGCACTTGTGTGCAAGGTTCTCCATAATTTTGTCTCTCTGTGTAATACCTCACTATGGGCTCTACCACACACCACCGCTCGGATACAGGATTTTCGGCAGTGATGCACTTACCATGTGCCCCATTCAGAGAAAGACCATAAAATGTTTGTCGACGGAGTGAAAAACTGCGTTCGGGTCAAGAAACACAAGCAGTGTGAGATGGTCGGCAAGTGTTCTAGTTTCTCAAAACCCGACAGGGAATATTCGGTCGGTACATTCACGACTAAGTCTGAAAACTGCCTGTTCTCGGGTTTGCCGTTCCTAAGCTTCACTTCGGCTTTTAGTGACTATAGAATGTAGAATCCTAGACACAATGTTCGTCAGACTGATTCTTCTTTGGTTATTATGGGAGAATTACTCCCCTTTATTGAAGAAGAAAGCAATCAGTGATTGAGTCCTATTCTAGGGGATATTTGATTCTCCAACTCTAGCCCATACTTTGGTTGGTTCAATCAATACTTTTCTATTTCCATCTTTAAGTAACTCTGGTACCCCTTCATATAACTCAGTCACCCTTCTTTGTTTCATGTCATTTATCGGCATTTTGACCTTTGCGAAGGTTGGTATAAGTATCTGTATTCCATTCGGTATCCGACAGGTTAGCGGGGAGCAGAACCGAAGTTGAAAGCCAGTTGAACTATTCCTCGCAAAGATCTGCCTATTGTTCAAGCTGTCTTCCCTATCCTTCTCTGCTATGGTTTCACTAACCATTGACATTTTGGCCCGGTCTTAATACCTGTCTACTGTTACATTTGGGTAATACTTTTCCCATTGATTTAGCCTTCTTTAACCGCCACTTCTCACGATCTTTGCGAAGATTCTGTCAGTATATGTTTGAGCTACCTTCGCCTTTCATTGTGCTCAGAGCCTACGGGATTGCTTTCATTTGCATGTACTGATTAGGAAGATGCTGCTGATATTCACTAACCTCTCCTAACCTTCCTTGAGAATCAGTTGCTGTGTTTATACCGACTGCAGGTTCTATCAGGCTTCTTCAGAATGAGTGATAATATTCTCTTCTGTTTGTTAATTGTCTATTCAGTTCCTCATTGAAAGCAACCTTAGTATTATCATGGTCGAACCACATTCGGAATCGTCTTGCAGACATAGCTTTTTAAACTTCACCTTCAGCGCAAACGTAAGCAGGCTTGAACTGATGAGTGATCATTATCTGAAGACCCATGAACGCGGTGGCAGTTTTCCACTGACCCTGTGTAGCGATAACTGATACCAATTTGGTTTATCTGTGTCAATTGTTGAGTTGAATTGAATGGATGCCACATCGAACAGCATCTCTCTTTTTGTCTGGATTTCATACCATCCAGAAATACATGGTTGCTCAGGTACAGTTGCAGCAACCGATCACTGTTATCTGCCCATTAGTCTAGAATTCCAAAAGGGCCTTTTCTGAGTGGCTTGCGCTACTTACTTGTGCGTTCAAATCACCTGTTGCGATAACCGCATGTGAACTATCGGTTTAGGATAGGAGGCTAGACAATTTCTGGTAGAACGCATCCTTTACTTCATGCGAACTGCAGTCACTGTATGTGTAAGCGGAGATTGTCATGAGATGGTAAGTTTCACTATTCCTTTTAAGTCTTCACTATACCGTCCAGTTGAATAGCGCACAGGTGACCCAACTGGGATCCAGTCGAACAGTGCAAACACTGCCTTAGGAATTAACATAAAGCCCAAACCTCCAGTGGCATCAAGAAGTGTAATCGGAGACAACTGTAGAAGGCAGTTGATAGACGGTCCGCAAGATTGCGTAAATGGATGATGCGACGAGTTTGATGAACTCTACTCTTAAGAATGTATGCCCGTAGTGTAAGGCGCAGCATCGGTAACTACGTAGCACGTTGCTATCTTGAAACTGTTGAAGGTCTGATCGTATTATTTATTTAGTATTATTGCTTTTGTCACCTTAAGTTATGATTTAAACAGTTCCACTTATTTGGTTCACATGGGTGAACTATGTTTTGACACTTCCCAGAACCGGATAGGAAAGTCGCTGGGTCACACACAAGATTTGTTTGATGAAACTCCTAATCAGCCGATGCGCTTTTCTGAGCCGCTTAATGCAAGTAAAAATAATAGTAAGTTAATTGTGAATCTGTCTTATTGTGAACCTATTTGTTGCATTAATTATGTCGTTCAAATCAATTCATTCTCTTTCTTCACATGACTGACATATAAGCTAACGCTGTAGGTTTTTTCCTGGGATTAGTCAATCATCGGTTATCATAAGCCAGTCACTTGTATCTGTTTAAAAACTGAGGGCAAAATCTTCAACAGTTTGAGGTTCATATTTCATCTTTTTTGAAATAATTTGATCAGCAAATTGCGCCGTAATTGTATTTATTGTTTGAGATGTTAAGGTTTATTCACAGCAGTCGAAAGGTTCTAAAAGTGTCCTTTCTAAATCTACTTTGCATGAATTATAATGTCAGGCGTGAAAGTCACTGATTACCGGCCTCAGATGATCGAAAAGACACAAAGGGAGGTTGATTTTTTTAACGATAGATTATAAGAATAACGTGTGTAAATGGATAGGAAATTAGAATAGAATACTAGTGTTCAAATTTCAAATGGGTATCAAGCGTCAAGGCGTTCACTCTTTTGACTGATGTCGAGTAATGTCACATTAGTTTTGCAACCCACTGTTTTATAACTTCTTGCAGGCGTAACTGCACACGTCTCAGGCCAGAAGTAATCGGATTTGTGATTCGGTTTCATATCTTTGTATGATTAACGCTGATTTTTGAAAGTAGTCCATCCCATTGGTTCATATTGTAGCTCAACAAGTGTGGAAAATTTTCCAGTTGGCCAGTCAATGTAATTTTACAACTTGGTTAGTTGATTTGTTGCTTTTTAAAGAGATTTTACATCCAACCTTGAAAGTGCTCATTTGGCGATTTCATTCATAGGTGACGCCTGAAAGGAACTGATGGTTAAGTGAACTTTTCTGGTTTACTTCCAACAAGTATGTGTTCTAAGTGAAAAACTTGGGCACTGTGGTAGAATGTAGTTCCATATTAGATTTGTTTATTTGATATAAAGCGCACAGTGATACAGTATTATTTTATTGATTACGTTTCGAGCATAAATTATGGCTCATAATCATATCAATGTAATCACACTTCTTATGAGCAATAATTTATGCTCGAAACGTAATCAATTAAATAATACTGTATCACTGTGCGCTTTATATCAAATAAACAAATCTAATATGGAAGTATGTGTTCTACCCAAATAAATGAACGAAACCTCTTCTATATACCCAGCCCTTGGTAAACGACACGGAATGTAAATTAATAGATACTGATCAATCTTTCTGAGTCTCTTATAATTTCACCCATTATCATGTTATTAGTTTTTATGAGATATAAAGAGCATAAAGTAGTCGATCGTTTTTAACTCTGAACTTTATTGTTAAACTAGGCATCATTGTTTGTTTTCAGTGACTGTTTAAATTTCCTGCACGTTGTATTAGTGACCACTTAAAAAATAAATCATCGACTTATCTTTTTGGACCATAGTTTCTCTAACGCTCGATTTGGATGCTAGGTCTTTGTGCATTTTGGGTTACTAACTGCTACCATATATGACGTGTAGCTCATTAGATTGCCCAATCGATTTCCAGTTAACGGGTTTCGAGTTTACCTACCTACGTGTGAATAGACAATATCATAATGTGGTTCACGCTGCTTCCTAGGTCCCATTTCGGTGCAGAATCATACTTCTTCAAAGTCTATGAAACTTTGAGATGATGGAGAATATTTGAAGCTCAGGAGGATAATTTTAACGGAGCTGTGTTCTGTGATCTTGGAGAACACCATTCTGTAAGTGGTGACCCATACCTATTGTGTAGCGTATATTAGTGTTACTTGGTTGGTCAAACCTTGATAGGTGGAGCGTGATGCAAACAATGGCGCAGTTGAAAGCTGAGTGCTTAAACCAGTTGGCCATAGCTCCAATAATAATACGACCTATTGTTGTCCACGTCTAAGATGTCACCACTAGTTTCGTTAAAAGATTTTGAGGTTAGTTAGTGTATAAAAACTCAACATCTACGTCGGTGAAGCCATCAGTTCTAATCAAATGCCTGCTTTTGGCAGCTTGGGATGAGATAACTTTCCACAATGTGAACGGCTAATTTTCAAACGTCCATATATTTGGGTTAGCTCCAGACGTAATCATTTCTACTCCTTATTTTGGTAACCAGGGATAATATAGTTGTCTAGTTGAAATACTGCACAAACAATGTTTTATCTCATACTAAAGGTTATGTGGTTGGTTGATTTAACCTACAGGTAATAAATAAACTTGCACGTGTTTACTGGCCTGTATTTCTATCGAATCCTTCCAACTAACTTGTTTAGCTAACGTAATAGATTTCGGCACACCAGCTTGTATACGGTTGTTAGTAATCATCCCTATCTCCACTCTGATTAGTACTCAAGTACTTTTTTATGCAACATCACATTTGCTGTGTGATAGTGAGTCGAATGTGACAGCTATCACAAAGTTTTTCAAGTTTGCCACCAGTTTTCCATTGTAAGGTCTAGAACTTCGTGACTGAGATTTTCAATCTTTAAAGATTTGGGTTCGGTTTAATTCTTCACTTTGTTTATTTTCAGCTAATTCATCTAACAGCCCTTTTCTGTCTGGATTAGAATCGCATTCGTCATCATTGGCGCGTTTGCCCAGTTCTGCTTCAGTTTTATTTAATAGCAGTGATGGTGTTGGTGAGGGAGAGGATGTCTCGGTTGTAAATGATCATGAAGCATCATATAATGACGAATTCGGTGTATAGGTTAGCGCATTTTGTTTATCAATAAACAATCATCCTTATTATGTTACTCAAATTTTCAGTGAAAAGCAAGGGAGGTGCAGGATCGATGATGAAGAAATCTCCAAAACAACTAGTGAAAAATAAGATTTCACAGTCTGTTGATTCCATTTTAGCCGTAAATGTGTCTGCAATAATTTATCGATTGGACGATACAAACGACCTGATATTTGATAGTCGTTTCAATGTCAAGGTAGGTATTTCCCCCATATTTCCGGTGTGTTTTCTTAGTAAGTTTTACTGCAGTGGTATCATTTAAAAGCCCAAGACAGCAGTGTTCTGTTAGGTTTCCACTGATGTTATAGTCCAGTGAGTTCTCATTTACATTTTCCCATATTTGTTCACTAGTAATCTCAATGACCACTCTTCTACCAATCTCTCTTACGCTTGGTTCTCATGAACCAATAGTTCGTTCCCCATGTTCCACTCAGCATCCACTAAAAAACATGCTTCTGCATTCATTTATGTACTAAGGAAGTGTATGCGGTTCCTCCGTAGTATCGACGAATATAACTCAATAACCGTTGATAGGTTTGTGCTATATGATGTTAGCCTGGTATGGTTGTTAACGAATACAGCAACATCGATTTGTAGTGAACTTTTACTGAACAAATTTCTGTAGAGTTCTTTCCAATTCCATCTAGTAAAGATGGCGACCAACAGATTGAAAAATATATCAAGCGTATATATTAGTTGGACACTTATGTTTACACTTCCAGAAATATGGCTTCAGTATCTTACAAAGTAAATCACATTTCTGGACTCATTTGCCGCTCTTAGATGTGGTATTGTACTGTTTTTTTTGTAAAAAAACACTTATAATAACTGTCCTCTTCCCAACTTTTCATTTTCTTCATATGATTTTCCTAACAATTTTTGAAAATTATTTCCCAGATAAATGATTCAAATATAAAAGATGCTTATCACCGATTACAAAACGATAATGCAAAATTGATAAACGAATTGAGTCGCTTATTGAAACGGGAATGTGATAATGTGGGACAGGTACGCTTATCTATAGATTTTATTCAGCTTTCACTTTGTTTTATTCTGAGTAAACCAGAATAATATATGTTCATTGCTTCCGGGGATTACAAGTAATTCATACATCGTTCGCTAAACAAATATCACTTCATTCAGTTTCCACTTTAAATCTAGCTTTTGTGAAATGCTTTTAATCATTAGCTGTGACTGGAATTTCGAGTGCTGCTGTTTGTTTTGCTTTGTGACTCAAGGCACTTATTTCGGCTTGTATGTAATCGTTTTGCGTTAAGTCCCGCTGGTTTAATGACCTTTTGTAAGGACATAAATTAAAACTGTAACTTCATTGGATAATGGGTGTTTATTTGCGCTTAAATTTCGTTGACACACAATCCACCCGGTAAAACCGAGAGACATCCCTTCGAATTGTTTTCATTTTCCTTTACAGTATATCGAATACCAGCAATTCACTCTCGTACTTGACTATACATTTCTCCGTCCCTAGGATTTGTGTTTATCCTCGAAACCTTCTCAAGGTACCGTTATTCTAAAAATTATGTTCAAACAGTGATAAACAGCACTCGTATAAACGTCGAATTGCGGACTACCACTTCAAAGGTTGTCAGAAACTCAAAGATCCTGTCCATCGCTTTTCAGAGACAGATTACAAACTGACTATCCTTCATCAGTTCAGCAGATAGTCTGACTCCATTCCGCGTTCAGTTGAATGGTTTTCCTCTGCGTTAACAGTCATCGAAACAAACATTAATTACTTTATTCCTTTATCCTTCGGTTCATAGTGGAACATACCGCTTCAATAACACATCGCCATTGCACTCTCTTCTCTTCAGTCTTCAAAACCTGGCTCCACGACTGCCCAGAAGCTTTCTTTTCTTCCTCACACTATCTCCTCCATGTCACCCTCGACTCAGACGCCCAACTCTCCGTTTCCCATCTGGGTTCCACTCGAGTGCCTGACACTTGATGTCCCCGAATGGTCTTCTCAGTGCATGCCCAATCTATCTCCACTTTCTTCTGCATATTTGTTGGGCGATGGGTTCTTGGTTGGTTCGTTGCCCGAGTGAGTCCCTTCTTGCTTATTCTTATCATTCTGGCAATCCATGTGATCTTCAGTATCGAGCGAGCGAAGGCGGCAGCTGTTGATGAATGTCTGTAGTTTGTTGGAAATGCTTTTCGTAACGCGCCAAGTCTCTCAACCATCACATAGAAGCACTGACTTACTTGACTGAATTAGTGTTGAAAATCTGGATGTTGTTCTTTATGCTGAGTGCAGTGGAGTGCAGTAGATCTCCACATTGATTTCAGATCAATGCAGGAAGGTCTGTCTTGCTGTCTTTCCGATCCTGGCTGTGCCGCCACCGCCACCTGTAGTTGAAACGATGCTGCCTAGGTGGGTAGGTAGGTAAGTAGGTGAAAGAGGCCACTTCCTTTAGGTTTCTCCCGTCGATGGTGATTGGTGCTTGTTGTTGTTGGTTGGTTATCTTCATCACCTTTGTCTTCTCTACGTCCACTTGTAGTCCCGTCTTCTCCACCCTGCCTCTTCTGTTAACTTGTTAGTTTTTGCCTGTAGATCTTCGAGTTTGTGCCACAAGACATTAGACATAAATCATCATCAGCGAAATCCAAATCTTCTTCTAGGCTCTTTCCATCGGTCCAGCCAGCGTATGCCCATCTTCTCTCTCCTCACGGTTTGCTGCATGAGCCATTCCAGTCTAGTCGACCACAATTAGGGAGATCATGGGTGATAGTAGGCGGCAACATTGTCTTACTCCTTTCTTCACTTCAAAGGCGTCACTGAGCTTCCCATTGTGAATCACTTGGGATATAGTGTCGTCATATAGCTGTTGAATGAGGTTGATAAAGGTTTGTGGCACTGAAACCGTAGTGTTGAAGCAGTTTCCAAATTACTCTTCGGCCGACGCTATCGAAGGCCTTTTCAAAATCGATGAAGTTGAGGTTGAGTTGACTGCCATTCTATACTCTGTTCTATGATGATGCACAGCACTGAGATTTGATCTGCACATGATTTGTACTTCCTGAATCCAGCCTGCCTGTTCCGGTCGTAATCCAGTTGAATGCAGAGGATTTTGTTTAGTCTTTCCAAGATGACACGGCTTAATATTTTTCTTGGGGTGGATAGGAGTGGAGCATAGTTCCGCGCCAGTTCTTGCAAAGACTTAGGTCTCCCTTTTTTGGGAGTTTGACAAGGTAGCCCTTCTTTCAATCGATCGGCAGATACCTTTCCTTCTGGAATAATGTTATGAGCATGTTCGTTGTTGTCTCTGTGTTTGTTTTCAGTGCTTCTGGAGGGATTCCATCTGGTCCTGCTGCTTTCCCGGTTTTCAGCAACTTTATGGCGTTCAAGACCTCGGCTTTTGTCGGAGGGCTTGTGTCCACTGGTAATTCTGTGGCTGCAGGTGGTATATTTGGGCGAGTTGGGGGTGGTGGTCGATTCAAGAGTATTTTGAAGTGGTCAGCCCATCGTTTCCTTTGTTCCTCCTCTTTGGTAACCAGGTTTCCTCAACTATTTATCATTGGTTTCATCTGTGTTGATCTCTTTCCAGATAGTGACCTGGCTATTTGATATAGTGTTGTCAGGTCTCTCCTACCAGCAGCCTGTTCTGTTTCACTTGCAAGCGTCTCGTAGAAGTGTCTTTTGTCGTTGCGCGCACTCTTCTTTACTTCTTTGTCCAGTGTAGTGTTTTATACTTTGTACTCAGTTCCTCCTCCCGTCGTTCATCTCTGCACTGCACCACTTCATCTTCTGCTTCACGATCACCATCTTCCTCTCCCTGCTCTATCAGCTTCTATGTGTCCGTCGAGACCCACTCCTTATCTTGTCTTACCTCTTCTTCCTTCCTAACACGGTTATGCAGGTTTCCTTCCACATCTCTTCGAAAGAGTTCCAGTGTTCTTCCACACAGGTTTCTTCAGGGATGTTGCTTCATGTCTCCCATTTTTTACTGATGTCTGACGTGAAGATGTCTTTTGTAGTTTCGTCCTTCAGTTGAGTTTCTGTTCTGGGTGTGGAACTTGGACTGTGGTCTATCACCAACTTCTTTGAAGGTTTTCAACTTGATTTTGAGGGTGGGTTCCTTGCACTAGATAGTGATGTGAGTGGTGTGAACCTACATCTGCTTCCCTTCTTGATCTGATCTTGTGACCAGTAGGCTGTGTCTCCACTTTCTTGAGATTGAGACGGAGTCGATAAGATTTTTAGTGAGCCCATCTGGTGAAATCCATGTCGCTGCCTTGTGAATAACCTTGTGTTTGTACACGCTGCCTCCAATCACCAAATCATTAAATGCGCATTCTCCATTCTCGTTCATCATTTCACCGAGTGCTTCTTGACCCATGATGAGTTCTCTTCGTGTGTTGTCCACTCTGTGTTTGGCATTCATGTCACCCCACCCATTAGAATTTCGATGTCGCCATCTGGAGTGGGGTCTTGTCTAGTACTGATCGCAGTTGTCTATAGAATTCCTCATTCTTCCCTTGGTCTGCATTATTTGTAGGTGCCTAGTGTAGCATTGTATGATTGTGACTTTCCTTCCTTTTGAGTTGAATCCACCTTGCTGTCACGATCCTGCAGGAGGAGATTGGTTCCCACTGCATGAGAGAGAGCCTTCGATGCTCTTGGGGACATCATGATAGCCACTCAAAAACTCAGTGTGCTCGTGGTTGTCGTCTGGGTGAGAATATCGGAGTAGATTATTGACTCTCCAGTTAACAGCTTGGAGAGTCCATTTCCATCTCATCTGCTTTGGCAGATTCCTAGCACTTCTATGCCATACCTACTCATCTCTTGTGCAATCTGGGTAGCCTTGGTAGGTTCATACGTGGTGCGGACATTCCATGTCCCCATCCTTACTTTCGGTTTCATCGAGAGAAGACAAATTGGCCAGTTGACTTCCTGAATACTTTCACGAATCGGCGTCATTTCGTCTCCCCGATTCCAGAGAGGAATAAGCTTGTTTTTATTTTTTATATTTTCTTTGTGCATAGGAGTTTCTTTAGCGATTGGATTTGTTTTACGGGGTAGTGTTGCTAGCTGTATGCCCAACCTTCCGTCTTTATCGGGGTGTAGGACGGGCTAGTGAACTGGTTCACGAGAGAGACTGTTTATCAGTATCTGACACTTTGATATGCATCGTCCTTGTGAACTAACCCACAATATTTTCACTGATTTGTTTTGTTCAATATCTTGTTTGGTGATTGAAGGTCATTTTCTAAATATCTGACTTGATTAGCAAGAGGGTTTGGGCGGACTGACAAACAGTAACTGTGTAAGCGTGTTGAAGTGAAGGTAGAGTCGATTGCTCGGTTTTGAATTATTTGGCTTATACAGAAGTCTGCAAATACCTTTGAAATGAACTATGCAAGACTAAACTTTTTTGTTTTCACTTTTTTCCGGCAGTGGGAACGAAACTTGTGTTCTTCTATTCATCAGGTGCAGTGATTTTAACTGAAGAAATCTTTCGTATGAACTTGTCTGCTTCAGTGGTTAATCTGATTTCATTAGGTAGATAAGTACACTAGTTGTGGATAAAGATGTGTGTTGGTTTAAATTTTAAAATCCAGCTTATTTGTCGTAATAAAATTCGATTGACGAGGATAGCAAGCACATTTGCCCTAGCTGTAATACACATTGCACAGTGTTCTCTCGGGTAGCAACTCATGCAACCCTTACAACTCAACCTTTGTAGCATCAAACCAACCTAGGTACCACACTTGTGGTGAATTGTAATTGTCACTCTGCACTTGGAAATAAAGTTCGTAAGCCATTGCGGATGCGTCGTAATGCTTTCCAGTTTTAAAAAAAATCATTTTTCGTGCCTACTACTTCCTCTGTTTTGTAATTTTTACGATGAAGGCTGTTAGGTCGTTATTCAACCTGAAAGTGTTGTATCAGCATTAAGGAATCGCCGTCTGTTCTACAATCGTTCTTATCATAAATTTTCATTTTGAAAGAGCAGTGAGAAGTTTTGCGTTATATTCGTAATAGTCGATATGCTTGCATTTATCGTTTATTTTGTAAGAGTTCCAAATTTAGTAATTTTGTTGCTTTTCACCGAAAACAGATAAAAACAAGTGATTCTATGCTGTCAACATCCCCACCCACAAACGATTCGTCCCACTCAAATGTCCTGAGCTCAAAATCTATATTCCGTTCGAGCAGTATATCTACATCAAATTCTGATTGTGTCCGGCCTAAAGTATGGAGATAGTAATTGTGATTACTTTCGATAACTTTTTACTTTTTATAGCTTTTATCATTATTAATTATATTACTATTATTATTGCTATTAATGCAAGTTTGCTACC